GGGGTTTTGGATCTCCTCTCTTAGTAGATGCAAGTACTTTTTAAAATAAAAATTTTAAAATAAAAATTGAAAATTAAATCTAGAATTTTTAAAAATAAAAAAATAATAAAAATAAAATTAAACATAAAAAATTAATGTATAAAAAGAAAAAAATATGTAATATAATATATGTATAAACATATATGTATACATAAAATAATAAATATTAAATGTATATATTGATTAACATATACATATATATACATTTAATAGTTACTATTTTATGCATATGTATACATATGTGAATTTTGATATGTTTATTATATTTTTAATTATTTGTAATGTAATTACAACTATTTTACTATATATAAATATATAGTTGTGCATATATTGCATATATATTGTATTTTTTTTATATATCTATCTATAAACTTAAATATATATATATATATATATATATATATATATATATATGAATTTTTGAATGTAAGTATATATATGTTTATGTATATATACATATATAATATAAAATATTAAAAATTAAAAATGTATATTTACATTAATACATATATATAAATATATATATATATATATACATATTTATTTTTTAATATTATATATATATTGCATATTTTTTTATTTTTTATTTATAATTAGAATTATTTTTTATTTTTTTTAAAATTCTTATTTGATGTAGCGGATGACGAGGCATTGAGTCATTCGCCACGTCATATCATTTGTTAAGTGATTTAACACCGTGTAATGTTGATGAAGTTTTTGTCAAAGATTTACAAGTTTAGTGTTTTTTTTATGTCAAAATCGACGAATTCATATTTAATTTGAAAGTTTGAAAAGTTCAGTATTAATATGTCAATTATCTTCAAGGTCGGTAATTTTTTTGGAATTTTCCCAAAAATATGTGTATAATTTTTTTATTAAGGTGGTGAGCTATCCAATTATTATAAGCCAACAACTCCTCAAATGTAACTTATTTATCCTATATATGTATGTGTTAATGCATATACTATAGATATAAACCTACTATCCTATATGTGTCCACGTGATTGTTTTGGGGGTAAGATCATACAATTTGTGATGTGAAACTTGTAACGTTCAATCTTTTTAAGACATACGCTGATCCAATTTTAAAATGATTTATTGATTAAAAATAGGGTTTCTAACTCATATATATATATATATATATATATATATATATATACACACATGCAATCATAGAAGATTGTACCTAATCGAATAAGATAAATAATAATCTAACATACATGTGGACACTAATAACATATAATAATCTAATTTATTAAGGTGAACTACCCAATTATTACAAGCCAACAATGTGACTTAACTTTCAACTATAACATTTTTTTTACGACACTTATTTTTGGAACTTGAACATATATCTTTATAAAAAATTTATGCGACCCTCTAACTTTGAGAGGTTCGGTTAAAAAAACATCAAATACTTTCAAATTTTAAAACTAATAAATATAACAGATCTATCATAATTTAATCACATTTTATTTTTTTTTGTTTTTATTTTTAATTATTAACTGATTTTTTATTCAAAGTCTCTCTCTCTCATCTCCTCTCAATTATTCGATTTCGATTTTCGTACTTGTCTGAAGTGATTCTCATATCAGTTTTTATGTTGATTGCCGTCGGCTCTTCTCTTGTCTGAATTAATTCTCATATCAGTTTTTACGCTAAATTCGTGTAATCTGTTTATGTTAGAATTGAGTGTTGACTTGGGTTTTGGCTTTCTGAATCAGGTTCGAAAAGGATAAGGTTTTGTGGGGGGTTTTTGATTCTGTCTCTTTGAATGGAAGCTAAGATGACGGCAGTGGTCCGAAGAATGGCTGCTTTTGCATTTGCTTCTGCCTCAGGTCTACTTCAGACTCATCCCCTAAGAAGAGGTACTCTGAACAACTTCTTGCACTGTTCCTCTGTCTTAAG